CCAAAAGTGACATTTATTTTCAGCTAGAAGTTGATCAATTTCTCAACATATCCATAAGCAGTATTCATCATGGACTGACATCAAATGGGGAACCATTGAAAATCTGCGAGCACTGGATGGCTAACGCGTTCACCGTGAAACCTCAGGGTTCTTAGTTCGATCGCTGACCGAGTTGTGGGTGCGTACTGCTGAGGAGTCCCATACTAGGACGAAAAAGCTGTCCAGTGCTCCCAGATTTTCAATGGTTCCCCAACTAATGTCAGTCCATAATGAATACTACTTCTATATCCATAAGCAATTGAGAGTGATTTTTTTTAACCAGAATAACAGTAACTTTTCAGGTCACCCGTTTTACGACCTATGATGAATACGTCTCGTTTAGTTAGTGTAAATAAAAGGGAAGTTTATCTGAACAATATGATGTACTTTCACAGTACATTTTGGATAACCTGATCATCTTAATATAACTACGTACAACAAATTGTGTTCGAAGCCTAATGCAGTAAATAATAATGTCCACTGTGTGTGAGACATCTAATCAATCAACTAAAGTGGAATTACATTCTACTACAATGTCTAAGTTTTAGCTATATTAATTTGGTCACACATTTACTTGTCAAGTCAATTTATGTTGAACAGAAGAATGAATCGGCAGGATGGAAAGAACAGTTACCATAAGTCGAATAGTATAATTTTTCGACGTTGACTAACATCACTTATTAGGAAAACATATTACTCAGCTGATCTTATCATAATGAAGAGGAAAAAAACACTATTCACCACAGACCTAAACATTGTATAAAAGATTCCGTGATGATCCATTGCGTTTACCGGCTCAGATGTTTATGTGATCACATATGTATAGGAAGCAGCAATTGATGCATGCAGATGAGGATGGGAGAAAATATATTTAATTGGCTTTAAAACGAATGAAGTGTGAAAATTTGACAAACATGTGGGAAACAACCCCTTTTTATCTATAGGTAAATATATTATACAAGCGGGACACAAATTTATTGTTCAAATGGCTTTATATTAAAGCACTCAGAAATTCAAACTTAGATTCGCGGAAGCGATAACCATACACAAATCGAAACCATGTTTATGCGTACCAAAACGATTTTTTCTTAAACTACACCTACCTTAGTAAACTTGTTTTCATACCATAATCAAAATCAATTATGTCACTCTTCCTGTTTGTTCTAATCCTTCTTAATTTTAATCTCCTATTACCTTAATTGCTATAATTGCCCTCCTATACATTTTTTGGTTTATTACAAATTGACTAGATGATCAAGTAGATGTATGTGATCAGATTATTCGAAATGTATTGCACGAGTACATGAAACACCGTATTCAGATAAACCTGGACTTTTAATTACATTATTTAAATATTTTTTTTAGGGGTTTGTGGAGATTTGGAAATATTTCAAGTTGTTATTCATCGTAGACTGACATCAGTTGGAGGAACAAAGGAAACCTGGGAGCACTGGACAGCTGTTTCGTCCTAGTATGGGACTCCTCAACAGTGAGCACCCACGACCCCACCAGCAGGGATCGAACCCGCGACCTTCAGGTTCCGCGGCCAGCGCGTTACCATTGAGCCACTGGGTCACAGAATCCAATGCTCCATATTTCCAACTTCTGTTAGCTCACGATTTAGCGCAAACCGCCACCCAATGTCATCGTTGAGTATCTGTCCTCACGGCCATCAGGCTTTGACTCCACCGGTCACGACTTGTCATTGGAACTTCGGGAATACTTCTCGAAGCTAGTCACCAATGAGCACCAGTTCAATTAAATTTTTTTCAGGGGTTTGTGGAGATTTGGAAATATTTCAAGTTGTTATTCATCGTGAGCTAACAGAAGTTGGAAATATGGAGCATTGGATTCTGTGACCCAGTGGCTCAATGGTAATGCGCTGGCCGCGGAACCTGAAGGTCACGGGTTCGGTCCCTGCTGGTGGGGTCGTGGGTGCGCACTGCTGAGGAGTCCCATACTAGGACGAAACAGCTGTCCAGTGCTCCCAGGTTTCCTTTGTTCCTCCAACTGATGTCAGTCTTCGATGAATAACAACTTGAATTATTTAATTACATAAAAGAGACTAATTGTTTTAAGTGGGTCCATATAACCCATAACCAAGTTAAAATATGATGGGTTCCCTAAAATCTATAACATTACTGACTTGTACATCTATAAGGATGTGTTTTAATAACTGAGTAAGAAATATATCCCTTTCGACTAGCAGCATTATATAATTACTCTCATTTATAAACCTCAGGATCAAAATTTGACCTGATAAAGCTGGATAATATGAGCATTGGGTAAATGGATAATAAAGAAAATATGTTTGTAAAATTCCACTGAGGTAGAATAATAAATTTCTGATGTTTCACGACATCGTGAAAGTAGCTTCTTCGGAGAATAAAAATTTCAAAGGTTATCGAATGAACCTAGCCTTGTTTACCGGTCCACTAGTTTACTAGCAGTTCCTAAGCCCGCAAAAAAGGGGGAAGGTTGGGCATAAACCTAGCAACCTTACCACACGAAATCAATCCAAACACTAAAGAAACTTCAAAGCAGAGACGAAATATAAAAGCTAAACTTAATCGAGGAGACGAAATGGTGCCGGTTGGTGAAAGTTTTCGGGAAGCAAGTCGGTCGATATGCCTTCTCTCGATGAAAGCAAAAGTAAGCATAGGGACATGGAATGTCCGCCCAGTGTTTGAAGCTGGCTGACAAAGCTACCTAAACTGCAAAAGAAATGAGAAGGTATGACATAGAAGTACTTGGAATCTGCGAAAGCAGGTGGAATGGGAGTGGACTCTCCAAACTGTCAGCTGCAGAGTCAATGAATAGACAGTGTAGCGAAGACGGAGCTTCAGGTGAACGTAGAGAAAATAGTGGTGATGAAGATAACCAACTGACCAACCAACCAACCAACAACAACAGCAACAAGCACCGATCATCATCAACAGGAGAAATATAAACAAAGTTGTCTCTCTCACCTACCAAGGCATCATGGTTTCAGCTGCACGCGGCACAGGCACAGATGACCATGTCAAAGCCAGAATCGAAAGGATAACGAGACAGGCATTCCTGCATTCATCTGAAATAATCAGTGTGGAGAGCTATTGAACTGCACTACACTACACTACACTAAGCACAAGGCGTGAACAATATCCCAATTTTCAACACAATTTCAGTCAAGTCAGTCAGTGCTTATATGCATTACGAAAAGCATTCCCAACAAACTGTAGACACAAATCACATGAACAGCTACCGCCTACGCTCACTCACTCGATACTGAAGATGGAGATGGGAAGACGAGAATAATTAGAATGAGCAACGAAGAATTCTGGCTTGTCAACGAACCAAGAACCTGTCACCCAACAAATGTGAAGAAGTAGGAAATAGAGATGGATTGGATTGTGCATAGACTGAGAAGACTGTTTGAGGATATGATGCACCATGCCAGGTCAGACCGTCGAGTGGAAGGCAGATAGGAAACGACGAGTTGAGTGTGCCAGCTGATGGTGATATGGATGATATTGTGTGAGGAAGAGATGAGAGTTTGTGGGTAGTGGTGTAGTAAGGTTGAGAAGACTGTAGAGAAGAGAGGGGAATGGTGCAGTGCTACTGAATCTGTATGTTCCACTAGGAACTCAAAGGACATATAAATAATAATAGGTTATCGCTTGGCTAAATAGTGAGTCAAGACAAATCAGATCATGGTGTTCATACGTGGCAATAATGATAATAAAATAGTCTAGGAATAAATTTTATGGATGTCAGTTATCAGTCCAAGTTTCTCTCTCTTATTTCTCTGCATTCGGATATTTTTTTAAATAGTGATTTTCTCTGGAGAAGAGATTTCTACATACATAATGTCAAAAATTCACTTTTCTACCTCAGTGAGATTATACACAAGTATTTCTTTCATAGCTCCAACTTAGTTCATAAGTATTATTGTCGATAATGTTTCTACACTTAATTTCAATCTTTCATGGTTCGAAATAAGTTAGTAGTCTGTACAACTGGCTAATAACAGTTCGATAGGAACTAATGGGTATGTCTACTACCAGAATCACTTTTAATTGTTAATGTTTGAGAATATTTCAAGCGATAAGAGCAAACATAATCATAATAATTGAATTTGAAGGTTTTCAGGGATTTGTTTGTGTATTTCACTTTGGTATTCATCAGTTGTAGATCCATTGAGAACCTAGGATCACTAGACATCTATTTCATTCTAGTGTGGGACTCCTTACTAGTGCTCACCCATCACCCCTTCTCTCTAAGGATCGAATATAGGATCCTTTGCTTCTGTGGAGAACGCTTTAAGATTGAGCCTCCGTGTTCGGATACTACAGTTCCTATTCTCCTACTTCTGTTAGCTGGTGATATATTGTGATCTTTATCCAGTGGCGTCATTGAGTAATTGTCTTCACATTCAACTTGATTTCCATGACTTTGCAACAGAACTTTGAAAAATCTCACCTCAAAGCAAGTCACTAATTCTTCTAGTTGAGAGTCATAAGGGTTCGATTCCTGTAGTGGTTAGGCGAGACATATAACAACATAGCGTAGCAATAGGTTATATATAAGTTATATTTAACTAATTTAAAAGTGGAATATTACTCTGAAGTACTTTCCTCATCCTTTTTCCGGAATGAAGATATCTTCAGCATGTTGTTCTGACTTAAGACAATCAGCCATTCCAACTTCCTGTTAACATGTAGTCTAATTAAACTTTCGCCTTTTTGTGAATAGACTGATGCGCCTTCTATTTAAATCTTAAAGAAGTTTCAAGATAGTCAAAACCTTAACACTATATGAGTCAAAATGTTTCCTAGTGTAGGTATTTAGAGGATCCTTAAAAGTTTAGTGAGTTTACAAATGAAATGAACTATGAATGAAATCGTTTCTTTTTCAAGAAACACTCATATAAAGTTCAAAATTAATGAACTTGGAAAAAGTACATATTTCACATTACTTACTTAATAAACGATTGATATTACTCAGAAGGTTGGTTACCTGCTCCTCAGTTTCTAACAGTTGAAGTGACACTTTAGATGTATAGTCTTACAATGATTCTGGCTTGAGTAAATATGGTACACTCACTATTAATTCAAAATATTAAAAATTCAACTGCCTTTTATACATTTACAAGTCTGTCTTAAACACTAAACATATATCCTTGTGTCTATGGGATGAAATAAATAATTTCCTTACAAAGAAGTTCTAACTCATAAACTAACCAATCAAAATTCAGTAAAACAAATGAAAATATTTCAGGTTGGTATCCATCATGCACTGATATCAGTTGCAGGGACACTGGTAAACTTAGAGCACTGAACAGCTGTTTCGTCCTAGTATGCGACTCCTCAGCAGTGCACATCAATGACCCAGCCCTATCCCACGAGGGTTCGAACCCAGGACCTCCAGGTTCTGTGGCCAGCACGTTGCCACTGACTCACTGGCTTCGGGGAATCCGATAGTCCATACTTCCTACTTCTATCAGTTCACGATACAGCGTGACCTACATCCACTGTCGTCTTTGAGTAAATGTCCTCATGAAGTGACTATCGTTCCTCTTTGGCGTTTCAAGCGATGGGTACGAGGTTCGAGTCTCAATGGGAACAACATCACTCCAGACTGAGGTGAAGGCAAATCCAGCTGATGAATCCCAAACAGGACGGAAACAGCATCCTGGATTCCTTTGCTAGCCACAACCAACCAAATTACCATAAATAACAAAAATAAACAAATAGCTGTCCAGTGCTCCCAGATTTTCAATGGTTCCCCAACTGATGTCAGTCCATGATGAATACTACTTCTAAATATTTTATGCATTATTTCTCAACGTTTCAATCTTGTTAGAAAGAGTATGAATCCAACATTAAGTTTTTAGGTTAATATGATCCAATCATCCAATTACATCATGATATGGAACAAAGATCCATGTGGTGTAGGTGAGTAATTTAGCAACTCGGTCAGAGAGGATTTTCCCAGTTGTGCAAATAAGGTGGAACCAAAATAGGGTGGGGAAAGTTAGTTCGGCTATGAAAAGTACACTGCAGTTGTGAGACATCAAGGGTGCTGGCCGCGGAACCTGAAGGTCACGGGTTCGATCCCTGCTGGTGGGGTCGTGGGTGCGCACTGCTAAGGCGTCCCATACTAGGACGAAACAGCTGTCCAGTGCTCCCAGGTTTCCTTTGTTCCTCCAACTGATGTCAGTCTACGATGAATAACAACTTGAAATAGATTACTAGTTTGGAAGGATGAATATTTGAACATCAGACAATATATAATAACATATAAGAATTCAATAATAAGAAGGATTTGAAACAATTAGTCCCTTTAATAAATTTCGATAACGCTATTAGAAGATGAAGACTATCTGAAAAATGTGGATGTGTATGTGTGGACACACATACATAGGCAGGAGTAATCGTTCAATGCGACTAGGGTGGGTGAATACAAACCCAAAATGGCTAGAAAAACAATTTAACACACAAACTTTGATAAGTGCAGGTGACAGACATCCATCGTCATCTATAGCAAAACATATTATTGAAATGAATCACAGGATTAATACGAAAACAGTGTTTAAGATATTATACAGGAATAATCAGGGCGCATACTGAAGTTTGCCGAAGCGTTAGCCATTCGTAAACTTAATCCCCTACTGTGTGTACACTTAATTTATCTTGGTAATACTTGGCAATCTGATTATATTACCAAGACTAGTGTCACAACCTTTTTATTCTCACTATATTTAACCTTTAATTTTCATATATAAATTGACTTGACAAGTAAATGTGTGGGGGATCAGATTGTTCGAAATGTATTGCGCCAATACACATCACATTTTTCAGATAATCTTCGTCTTCTAGTAGCTTTATCGAAAAATAAGAAAGATAATGAGAGGAATAAAAGATAAGACTTGAAGACAATCTTGGTAATACGAGATTGTCTTCAAGTCTTATCTTTTATTCCTCTCATTATCTTTCTTATTATTGAATTCCTTTATGTCATATGTATTCTTCCCCCACTTCCAGTTTTCATATATAATAAATAAATAATAATAATAATAACGATAAATGTACTTTTGATAACAGTTGAAGTATGAGTGATAACAAAACGGATTATGTAATACATAGAATAGTTCATAGAATGTATATAACTCAAAAAGGATGCTAAAATTGATGAAAATAGTAGACCAATCAAGTGTTATGTAATAGGAATAGACAAGTTGTTAAAATACAACCAACATTTTTTTGTGACGTGATTCTGACGATTAAGCACTTTAACACAGGAAACTATTGAAGGAAGCGTAAATTAGGAATAAATCATATGGAATGAAGTAATTATGTTCTACCTTCTCTACATATATTATTCACAATTGTTTATGCAAGTCACTAATGTTTGCCACTATATTTGTGGGATGTCCAGCCCATCTTTTCTGTTGACCTAAGAAGGGTGCCAACAGATGTGCAAATCTTCTGCTATGGCCCTCTCTTTGTAAGAAAGAAAACCCTTTTGTAAGACTTTTACCTTTTCTAATGATATTTTATGACCTGAATATAAGGCATGACCCGCGATGATGCAGCTTCTTTCAAGTTTTTCAAGATCATATGGATTTTTTGATGGTTTCTTACAACTTCGATCGTGTTCGCTTGGACGTGTCAGTACTTGACGTGATGTCTCTCCAATGGATGTGCAACACATTCACTACAATGTCTACCTTCTAAACACAGTTCTGTTGTACTAAATGGGGAATCGGTTCTTTAATTTACATCGGTGTGTGTAATGTGCTCATCAGCTTAAAGAATACTGTGGTGTTTTAACCATTAAGGATATATCTTATTTCCTCTGATGTAGCTGTTCAATAAGGAAGTACCACAGTATTTATCCATTCCTCATGGCTTAGTTTTTCCTTGTCTATTTTTCAACAAACCTTTTTAGATCCTTTTTAATAGCTTTTCCAGGTAGTCGTTTTGTTTTAAGACTTCCCAAACAAGTTGCTTGCTTCGATTCCACTATATTCGGTGTTAATGTAAAATAAAGAAAATCGAAACAAAAAATCAACTCGTATGAATCGTTAGTGATATGTAAAAAACATAATGATTGTCTCAAGTTGTTATTCATCCCAGACTGACATCAATTGGAGGAACAATAGAAACCTGGGAGCACTGGACAGCCGTTCCGTCCTAGTATGGGACTCCCCAGCAGTGCGCACCCACGACCCCTCCCTCCATGGGTCGAACCCTCAACCTTCAGGTTCCGTGGCCAGCACGTTAGCATTGAGCCACTGGGTCAGGATCCAGTCCTCCATATTTCCAACTTCTGTTAGCTCATGATATAGCGCAACTGCTACCCAATGTCATCGTTGAGTATTTGTCCTCACGACCATCAGGCTTTGCCCCCACCGGTCACGACTTGTCATTGGAACTTCGGGAATACCTCTGGAAGCTAGTGTATACTTGGTTACATAGATCGCGCAAAGTATATTCTATCCAAATGCATCTTCGAATAGAGCCCTGCATAGCTATCAAAAGAAGCTTGCAAAACGATTAACAGTTCAATTCTGAAGCATCTGATTATCTCTGGTCACTCGCTTATGTCAGAAACACCTTTCAAATTCATTTATAAACTCAAATCAAACATTTCGAAGTGAGTGCGGACTAGCTATCTGAACATATGATAATTCAAAGGCTCAGGTATGGTATCTGACTTCAACTAAGATGCATTCAATCTCCATATTGACCTTCGTCATAATTTATTTTTTATTTATTCACTTATTATTTGATGACCTTGTGCTGACCTTCTAGCCAAAATCACCTCGTGTCTTCGTTGACAATATCTGATAACTTTGTACTGACCCATTGGCTATTTATGTATATATATTTTGCATTAGCCATAACTACGATTGTAGGCTTTCTGAATTAAATTCATCGAAAAAGCATTTCTTTTGTTAAATTTACCATTGAAAATTGAATATATGATGCGCTAAATCGAGTTCGTTTGTAGCCTGTTCCAGTGTACCAACATAGAAAATCATACTGTGTAATCAGCTGACGTATTTACAGCAGTACAAAATACAGTCTGCTTGAATTTTCGGCTACCTCATTTTACCATGGAATATATTACAACAAATTTCTGCTTTGTGTATTGTTTTATTCACTCAGTTATGTCATCTAATTGTATCATATACTCTTGTGCTTTTTTAAAATCATCAAGAAAAAGAACTATGGTGGACAGCAACGGGATCTCAAGCTTATGACCATAGATGAAATGACTATTCTGAAAATACTTAACACAAACACCAGGTCTTTACTGAATAAAATTAATTACCTCCCTTTACTCTTATCCACAAATCTTTATCAGAATACGGATATAATAATACTACAGCACGTCTGATTGCAGTTTCTCAGATTATTCAACTTTTGCTGACGAATTCACTTCTCTGATTCTGGGTAATACTTTGTCAATGGTAAGTGGAGATTTTAATTCATGGAACTACAGTTTCCCTGTATCATTCGGTCATGAAAATATGGTTAACTATTCTACTGGTCTTGACAAGACACTAGATTTAGTATTTACAAATGATTCTGGCACATATGAAGCCAGTAAACGAGCACAACTGCTGAATTCTGACCAATCTGTTGTACACGTTTTGCACAGTGTCTGCCAAGTCACATAAGAAGGCTTTTGGACACTTTTCGAAGAAAGACCAATGCTGAGTTTATTCGAAGGAGAATATACTGCATTTGAGAATTATGCTTAAAGAAACAGACTAGGACATTTTTGTTGATGAAATTTTAGACAACAGTATCATAAGCTATCTCAGATTCTATCTGGACATATGCTGCCCTGATGAAAAAATCACGAGATCTGACAAACTTTCCTCTCCTTACGTCAAAAAGCTTTAGACAGAAAAAGAAGGTTTTATAAGACGAGAGACTACGCTGGCGTTAAAATACTTAACTGCCCGATTAAGTCTGAAATATAACGTCTTAATGCTATATACAATCACACTTTTCTATCATGTAAGAACTCTTTC